CGTTGAAGCGGAAGGAGCACGGGAGAGAAAGAGTGTCCTCATATCTCTCCTTCTCTCTCGCAGGCAGAACGAGAGGATATTGCGATCGCGGTCAGCGGCGGCGACGGTGATAGTGACGGTTTTCAAGTTTTAATCCGCGCGAGGGCGAGAGACCTAAGCCGAAAAGCCCGCAGCCGCGGACGTCATCACGGCTGCTTCGTGCCCGTCCAGCCGCTCCTCCAGATTACATTAATTCGATTAATGGATGCCGTCCATCGTCGGTGGTGGCCGCCGGACCCGCTCGTTCGCTCGCTCTCGCCGTGGCCGTCCTCTCTTGTCCGCCCCGAGCTTCGATGGAACATATGGATTCGTGATCGAGGCGGTACATCGCCAACGCAACGAAAAAGACACCAGTCGCGAGATCCGAGAGAAACGCAAACTCATTTGCATTTGCTAACGGACATACTGATACTCATTAATTTGCTAGGATATAACTTTGCATTTCTAATAGAAAACAAGATAATAATGATTATGATTTGTATTGGCCACGATCTGACGAAAAATAAAAAATAGAGATTTCAGAATTGTTAAAAAATTTGTTAAAATCAGAATATTCAGAGTTACACTATAAAATAATACATACTCCAAGGATTAAAGCTCTCATTTCGCGAGTATAATGAATAGATGGTAACGATGGTAATCTCCGGCCTCGTAAAAATTCGTTGATCCGTCAGTCGGACTAAATGAATAATTAATCGAAAGATCGTATTGATCGACCTGAAAACAGTATTTGCGTTATTTTTACAAGGAATATGACATTGCGGTCGATGTCGCTATTTTCAGATCGACAACCTATATACGATTTACATATGTTGCCCAACGACACGGGCGATTAGAGCGAAAAATATTGCACGGAGTTTTACGCGCGCATTTACACCGCATGATTTGTACAACGGTTGGTGCGAAATCGACTGTAAAAGCTTATAATCTATACGTGTAATTTTGTATCGCGTCGCACGTCTTCGTACACAGTTGCTATAGTTGCTATAAATATCACGGAGGAACAAACGTAAATAACGCTTCTCGCATTTCCTGGTATTCTTCCGCGTTTCATGGCGTATAGCGCAGTAAGAACGTACGAGTACTCGTAAAATGCGAAGCCGAGTCGAAACCGGGTTTTCAATTAAAAAAATTATTAATATCTCCACACGCGCGAATGTCCGTTACACGTTTTAATCCAGTTTCCAACATCTATAAACATGTCAAAGAAAATGCGTAGTTCGCTTAATAGTAATATCGCTTCCACACTTATAAGATACTAATTGCAAGTGCATCGCGTTTGTGGAATTGCGTGACATTTGAACCGAGGTGATCTTCCTCTATCGCAAATGGCAATATGCCTCGAAAGAAAAGCGTCGAGCATTGTGATAAAAAATGCGAATGAGAGATCCTCCTGTCGGTCGTTACATTATTAAGCGTAATTGTTACTTTAGTGACTTCAGTCGCGAAATATTCCGTTGCGTGCGAGGATGCGCGCTCTCGTGTAACGTCCTAAATAAGCTTCCCCCGATTTCCGACGTTGAATGCGAAGGCGAGAGGCCGCCGAAAGAAGAGCGCGTTTTTAACGCGACGAGGTAGCGCCCTGTGAAAAGCATTCCAGCCACCACCTGCGTCCGAACGCCCATAATTATGTTTCTTATGTGCGTCCGCTTCTGGTACGGAGCGTTTGGATATTTTGCCTGCCGGAGAACGGGGCAGTCTTTTGGCGCGCGTAAACGCCTTCTGTTAGACTGCAGGGCGCCTTTAAACGGTGCCCTTCGTTTTCATCTCGCGCCTTTCATCTCGCACGAGTACATGTCGCGCCGACGACGCGTTTGTACTCGGCACTTTGGACCTCACACTTTACAAAAGCGCGTATTTAGCATAGATCTAGATATATGCTTGATACTTTTACAGACTTAAACTTGATTCGATATTCCCCGTTGAAGATGGAAGCGATCTTTTTCGAGTCAAATATCGAAATTAAAAAATGATTGAGCGTTGTACGGTCGTCCGTAATTTTGCAAATCAAAATTTCATTAAAGTAAAATTTATATTAACACTCTTAACTGTAGAAATTTAATACCATACATATTTCTTAATATTTCTATTCGCATATATTTTTCCATAATGACCGATATCAAAGAAGAATGCGATAAGAATTTAAAATAATTCTCATACATAAATTGACTGCATAGATACAGCATAATTGACAAGCAGATACATAATAATTAGCGGACGTCACCTTAATTCTAACGCAGGCGCAATCTTCCATCTCGGAAATATTATTTCTAAAAATACACGAGCAGTCGCGCGAAGAGGTGCTGAAGGCATGGTTATCACTCTACCGACGCTAGAGAATCACCGCTATTAAAAAGGAGGCTGCTCCGAAACTGCGTGGCTCTCTCATCAGGGAGAAAAAACCCACACACAACGGATACTTTAGATCACAACCGGATTCACGCTCGCCGCGGAGAGATCCGCGGCTCTGACTTAATTTCCCCAGGACCTATATTTATCGTATCCGATACCAGATTTCGAGCTGTCAAGTCGGACGGGGGCCAACGAGGCCTTTCCACATTGCGGTCCAACAGGAGAGTTCGCGTGACGGCAACAGACACGTTGCTCTCCTCTCCCCAGTCCCCATTCACTCTCCGTCCCTCTCCTCGGTCGGCTTCCCTCTTCCTTCCTCCCTCCCTTTCTCTCTCCCGCTGATCCTCGTCCGCCTTTTCTCTTTTTCGTTTTTTCTTCCTCGACCGCCAATTCGACGGCGCCGACCAATCGAGCGGCAGAGAACTCGCTCTATAAGCCTCAGCACGCAGGCGGACCGGGTTCCTCTCTCGACGAAATCGACGGAAGAGGAACCCCCTCGCCCGCGGGGATCGCCGCCGTGAAATAATCCGCTGATAAATTCCTCCAAGATCTGCCTCTCGCAGCCAGAAAGGTAGAGAAGCGAGCGATTCTTTACGATCCGCTCGCGGCGTTTGATTCCTTGAATGAACATGTCCCATTGACGAGCAACGTTCGATTGCTTCATCGATTGCCGCTTCGCGTCTCTACCTTGATTAGCAATATTCACACGAGATGTCTCATATTTCTTGAACAGGCAATCGTATAGTCGAGAATAGATGAGAAATAATACTTTCTCATCTGAAATGTGTTAGGATGTCAATAATTTACCGCACAAGAATTTATAAGCAAGAGAAGAATTTTGACAATTTTAAGCTTCAAGGAATAGATCTTAGTCTTTGGTCAATTTTAAATGGACTTTAAAGACTTTAAGAGAAGCCTGAATTGAAATCAAAATATTTTGTATGTTGAAACCTTAAAAAAATCACGAGAAAAAAAGAACAGTCCAATCGTATCATTTTAGGGGAAATCATTTCTGCTTATCGAATGCATTTTGACGTTCGGGATATATCGTATTTCCAATTGAATATGTATCTGTTTATTATTCAATCGGTCATTTGCATTAATTATTCAGTAGTTGTCGACAGCCTATTTGCATCTTTATGATGTTACACATTATGATGTTGCAGGTATATGATACATCCTTATTACACGAGGTTTTGCGTTTTAACTGCACCTTATATAATTAAATTGCAGCACAGAAATGCAAGATAAATCGTTAACTAGATTCGGTTAATCAAGACATTACTCAAATTAATCAATGGAGACAATATTCGGAGGTAGGTCGCAATGTAAATGGAAGTGGATTACATCGAGCAATATTATGCCTGGGTATATAGAGACGACGACGACGACGGGCGAAGACAAACTAATGTACACGCTATGCACTATGCAGTAGCAAATAGACAAACTAACGCGAACATGCGCTATCCAGTAATAAAGACGATATAGGAGATTAACGTAAAATAACGCGTCATATACATATACAAATCTTAATCATGGAAAAGTACTTCAAGATCTTCTGTACAAGCGTAAGAGATAAACTATGAAACCAGATGAGTAAACAATCTTTGGCGTAAAGGAAAATATCGTTTTTTGTTATCATTATACATAAAATTCTCTCAAAAATGCGACCTATCTCGGAATAGTCCGTTAACCCTTAAAGCGCACATGGGGTGTAGGATACCCCACTCCGAACTTTGTGCTCTGATAAGTCCCATTAAAATGTCTTTTTCAATAATTTTTTAAACAATGTTAATTTTAAGAAATCGCTATAACTTTTGTTTATCCTTAAAATACATGACTTTAACTTCATTCAGAAATTTTTATGCAATAAAATAGTCAATAGCGTCGTTACAGTACATACTTAAAGACACTGGGGTATCTCATACCCCCAGTGCGCTTTACGTAATTTTTCGGAGACGTGCGCTTTAAGGGTTAAATAAATCATTAAATAAAGGAATACGAGAAATATTCTTCTCAAAATGCAACGAGAATATTTCTACGTGCGTGAAAAACCTGTCACATATATTCTACACATTAGAATAATCATAAATTGCCCGAGTATTTTATAACGTCATTATATTCATTAGCCACTTCACAGCCGTCTCTCTGTTTTCTCAATTAGAACCTCGTACCAATTCAAAAGCAACGAAATCCCAAACCCAAACGAGCCAACAGGTTAACGTTTGAAGCCGCCGAAACGCGGGCGAAATAAAGGAAACAAGAAAAATCACGTGCTGTCCCTCGAGGGAAGCACCCTCGGGGCCAGTCCAACGTTCCTGGTCCATCCGTAGCACGCGCGCGGCATCCCTCCGCGCTTGGATCCACGATCCATGGACCAGTCTCGCATACTGCGGAGTGGAGGGGGAGGGGGGACAATGTCTCGTCCGATTGGCCCGCGCGATCTCTCGCAAGCGTGTGCGAGCGAGAGAGTGACGCGTCGTTGGTCGAACGGAGACAAAAGGAGTAGAGGGGGGCGGGGCAAGAAGGGGGTAACACGCATCGGGGGCTGCGGGGAGCGGGGAGCCCGCGACCGGAGAGGGACTCGCGGCAGTTCGGAGTTCGGATGCGCATCGTGCGAGGACGGCGTTTCAGTTAGCGGCGAGCCGCTGTCGAGGTAGGGTTTGTTTTATCGCCGGTCGTTTCCGCCGGCGCGTTCGTTCCCGATCGCAGCCGATTTCCTCCTTCGCTTTTGCGCGGCCACGAAACTCGTTTCGCGCCGTTCGGGGAAACGAGACGCGTTCTCTCGAGATCGTAGCGAGGGTGATATTCCGCGAGTCTGTCTGACTGAGTGCGAAAAAAAATAAACAAACAAATAAACTTTCGAAGTGGTGAGTCAGGCGGCTCCTCGGACGGGTCCGGTTTCAGTGTGAACAGTGCGTTTATCTTATTCCGCGAGACTAAACGTATATGGTTTTAGATTCATCATCGTGTCGCGTTCCAAGTATTCTAACTTGGCCAGTGCCAATATAATGTGAGCCGTGAGTGACAGAGAGACGGGTTTCAGCGAGACACAGAGAAGTACAACGGAAAATTAAATCGCGCCTCGATTTCAACATGACGCGGAGCGAGGCCTAGGACCGAGATCGCATCTCAGTTGCCCCTTTCCGTAGAGGGGAGAGTAAAGAGAGCAGGAGGGAAGACGGGGAAGAGGTGAGTGAAGCTTCTCGTGATCGTCAGGGTCGCGTTGAACCGCCAACGACACCCGTACCGCAAACCGCGCGCGGATATCTGCCGGAGAAGCGCGAAGAACGGAAGAAGGATCGGAGCGGGCAGTTCGCCAGCGGTGCAGGATGGCGGAGAAACGGTCCTTTCGGCCGTGGGTCGTCCTCGCGACGATCCTGTCCGGGCAGCTGCTGCTGCTGCTGCTGCCGCTGCAGCCGGCCCGCGGCGAGATCTACACCAAGATGTTCTCGAGCCAGCAGAACCCGAGCGACCCGTGCTACGACGAGGACCGGCCGCGCCGGTGCATCCCCGACTTCGTGAACGCGGCGTTCGGCGCGACCGTCGAGGCGTCGTCCACGTGCGGCACCGGCGGGCCCACCCGCTACTGCGACGTCACCGACGAGCCCGGCGGCACCACCGGCATCGGCCACTGCCACGTGTGCGACGACAGCACGCCCCGGCGACGTTTCCCCGCGAGCTATCTGACCGACCTGAACAACCCGAACAACGTCACCTGCTGGCGCAGCGAGCCGCTCGTCAGCTCGCAGAGCTTCTCGGCGCCGCCCGACAACGTCACCCTGACCCTCTCCCTCGGCAAGAAGTACGAGCTTACGTACGTCAGCCTGCAGTTCTGCCCGCGCGCCGCCAAGCCCGACTCGATCGCGATCTACAAGTCGATGGACTACGGCAAGACCTGGCAGCCGTTTCAGTTCTACTCGTCGCAGTGCCGCCGGGTCTACGGCAGGCCGAATCGCGCCACCATCACCAAGGCGAACGAGCAGGAGGCCCGGTGCACCGACAGTCACCGTTACACCGGCGGCGACGGCCTCGGCCCGGTCGGCAGGATCGCCTTCAGCACTCTGGAGGGCCGACCGTCCGCCGCCGACTTCGACAACTCGCCGGTGCTGCAGGACTGGGTGACCGCCACCGATATCCGGGTGGTGTTCAACCGGCTGCACATGCCGTCGGGCCCGGACCAGGGATCGTCGTCGCTCAACGGCGAGGAGCATCACGTGGCGGCGATCGGGCTGGAGGAGATGACGAAGCGGGAACGCGAGCGCGAGGAGCGGCTCAAGAGCCAGAAGAACGCGATTCTGCACGGCCAGGATCCCCTGGTGACGGCCCTGCCGTCGGTCCATCAGGTGATCGCGCCCCAAGAGATGCAGTCCAACGACGCGATCGACGCCGCGGTACGCGACATGGGCTTCGTGCCGGTCACCGTCTCCTCGACCACGACCACGCTCGCCAGCGTGGCGATGAACGGCCTGGGCCCGATCGCCACCGCCACCATGGCCCACCACTACGCGGTCTCGGACTTCGCCGTGGGCGGCAGGTGCAAGTGCAACGGACACGCGGCGCGCTGCATCCCCGGCAAGGACGGCGAGGTCGTCTGCGAGTGCAGGCACAACACCGCCGGCAGGGACTGCGAGCGATGCCGGCCCTTCCACTTCGACCGGCCGTGGGCCAGGGCCACCGCCAGGGACGCCAACGAGTGCAAAGGTTCGTGCCGAACATAAATTCCGTTATACTCCGAATTAAATTATTGGAAATTCCACGCTTGTGCCGTGAAGATTCAATTTAGGTCGCGATGATTAATGTACATACATTTCTACCGATGCAGATTAACTTCAATCCCGGATTATTTTTCATCTCTTTCTAGATCTAAGAGTCAGAAAAAGGATAGTAAGTTAAGCCGGGATTAAAATTGATCTACATTCGTAGAAATGGACATAATGAGCTAAAAATTAGCATATTTGATCTCTGGCTGCACATGTTATGTTCGCGATAAAGTCTAATGGATGTCGTTGCGATATTTGATATCTAAAACATTAGCATGCTTGTTATTCTTCGTCCTCTCTTTATCACCTTTCTTAATGCATTTGCACACCAACATGCTGCAACGTGTCACTCTTGGTATATATTTAATTTAAGTGGACAGAATATGTAACTCAGTATTGTTCTACAAGTATGTAGAATAGAAAGATATTTTGTGCGCTTTGAGTTA